TACGGGCGCGACACTGAGGGTTGCGGTCCGTTGCCGGACACGAAAAAAGACAAAAAGGAAACAAAAAAAAATCTCTGGGCAGGGTAGGACTCCTGTCTCAGCATAAGCAGGGCAAGGTGGCAAGGTAGCAGGGCTCAGCCATGGGCCAGGGCCCCAAGTGTTGGCTCAGGTATGTGAATGAACCAACACAGGAGCAGAAAGGGAAGCTGTGAGCTCCAGGCCTATCAGGTGGTCCCTGGAAGCCCCTAGTCTATGAAAAAGAGCTTGGCACAGAGTCCGGACCCAGCTGGGGCGCAGCAGAGTTGGTCTTCAACCAGGATATGGCCTGGGAGGGAACAGGCAAGAAAGGGGAATGGGGTGGGGGGAAACTATGGAGGTTCCCCAGCCCTGAGCCCTGGGCTTGTGGCCTAGTAAGTGTTCATCTTTGCAATGACTAGAGCCTGGGGCCTGAGCATGCCTGGCTGTGGCAGCCCCAGCTGCAAGAGTCTCTGGGCTAAGACTGGGTAACCACAGCCCAGCCTGTCAGATCCCCTGGTCTCCACTCTGCCTGGTCTTGAAGGAACACTGTTCCTAATGACCAGGACGTTGCTAGAGTCCTGACTTCTCCCCCAATCCTTTCTCTCCCAATGTCTCAGTGAGATCTCTCCCACCTTTGAATCCCAGTGCATTTTTATTATCTTTTCTTACATTACCCACCTCATCTCCTGCATAGTTACATTTTGTAAAATAATTTCTATTTTGAAAATTATCACATATATAGAAAAGTGCATACAGCATACATGTACAGGTGGGCAGAATATCAAGCAAGCCACCAGGTAACCACCACCCGGGTCGAGAAAGAGTAATGCCAGCTCCTAAGAGCTCCCTCCAACTTGCCCTGCGCTCTTTCTGCCTCTTTTCCTTAAAGGTAACCACTATCCCAACTTGTATAGTCGCGAGGGTTTTGCCTTTTTCGGGGTGGGGGGAGCTTTTTCTTATTTTATTACCTACATATGCACTCCTAAATAGTAGATGGAGTTCCTTTTTTATTTATGTTTAGTCCTTCAAAGGCTGGCTCTCTCATGGAGTGAGTGCAGAGGGATGAGGGCAGAGAGGGGAGCTCGACGGGGGGAGGAGGAGGAGGGGGCCAGCACAGGGTGGGAGGGACAGCCGGAGCAGGTGGTGACCAGGAAGCAGAGGGCGGGGGCTGGGGGAGCTAAACCAAGTGCGTCAGTTAAGTCATCCAAGCTCCATAACTGGAAATTGAAGACCTGTCAGGATCCAGCCCCCACACACCAACCTCTCCAGCCCTACTTATCTATTTGAAATTCTCCAGAATAGCTAGGTTTATTAAGACACAATAAAGCCCCCAACCTGGAGTTCCTTGCCCACTTCTTTACCTGGCAGGCTGCTATTGCTTTATGCCTTCATTCAGGTATCACCTTCCCTCCAAGAAGGAAAGAAGGAAAGAAATGTCGCATAGAAGCCCAGGAACACATGGTGGAACCCTCCTGAAAACACATTTCAACTCCCAGCTTAAAAAAACTCCCAGTTAGTGCCTCAAACCCTTCTGCCTTGCTCTGTTCTGAAGCTGTCTGTCCCCTGATGACACATTTTGAGTACTCCTGCCAGGCCCCTTCCCTGCCAGGTGGGCTCCTGTGCCCTTCTGAGGCCCTCCCTTGTTAAGGAGGGGCAGCCTGAGTCCTAACTCACCCCCTTATCCTCACTGTAGCCCCTCTTCTCTCCATGCATGGTTGGCTGTGGTGGAGGCTGTAGGCAGAGAAAGGAGGGTCCCACGGACAGGTGAGACTCAGGGAACAGAGTCAGGGCCAGTGCCCCTCGCATTGTGGAGATGCCATTTCTAGGGAAAATCCCGTATGCTCTGGGGTCTGCTATATTTTAGTGAGAGGTGAGACCCTGTGCCCCAGCACCTCTCCCCTCGCTGCCTCCCCCACCTCCCCACCACCCTTCCTTCAACACCCACCTGCCCCTGGTTGCCATGAGTCAACCCAGGACCATGCTGGGCACATGGGGATAAGTGGTGTATGGAAGGGGACAGTGGATGCCATCGTTGGAACACATGGCCCCACTGAAGCAACTGGTGTTTTGTTTTCTTTGCAGACATTGTCAACTGTGACCTAAAATCCACACTGCGAGTGCTATACAACCTCTTCACCAAGTACCGGAATGTGGAGTGAGGGGCCACCCTGGGTCCCCACTGCCCAGAAGTTTCTGCTTTGGGCAGACAGGACGGACCATCCTCCAAACCATCTTAACCTGCTTATTTCTGTCTCTTGCTCTGTGCTGTCCCACAGGTCCAGCCACAACCCGGAGATAGTGGGAACTGAAATTAGGAAGGAAGTGACCAATAACTCAGTGGGCTGACCCATACCTCCCAGGCCCTGGGACCAACCAGCAATGACCTGGGAAGGTTGTCCCCATCCTGGCGTCTGGTCCAGATTCCCCACAGTGTGGCTTGGGATCCAGCTTAGTCAAAAGAGTCCCCAGGAGATGAAAATGAAGATCCTAGTGACCACTTAATGTCACAGTAAACTGTGCTGGCACCACCCTAAGGGCTCTGATATACTCAAGCCCACTAATCCTCATGACTCCCATTGAAGGAGGCGTTATAATCCCCTTTTACAGATGAGGAAATTGAGGCTCAGAGGTTAAGTGACTTGCCAGAAATTGGCATCTGGCCTTTCTCTTTGAACAACATATTAGCCGATTACATCACCTTCTCTTCGCTTTCTGAAGTTGTGCATGTGTATATGCGCATGCACACACAGGTACACGTGTACGTCTGAGTCAAAGACAGGAACCTACTGACCTCACTGCTAGGGCAGGCTACACCAGGGCTTAGTGATTCATTCTGAAATTGGCAAATCGAATTTAACCCAATTAATAGTGTGTGTGTGGCAGGAGTCATGTCCCTCAAATCCTTTGCACAAATGAAAATTACTCATAATTCCTTCAGATTTATAATAACCTCGAACTCTGGTTTCAGGGCGACATTTGGGAAGGATTCTGTTTAGAATTAATGGAGAGGCACATTTTGCAGCCTTTTTGCTTGATTGCATGTAATGGAAATGCCCTATATTTCCTGCAAAATAAGTACTCAATTCATTATCATTAGGCAAATGTACAATATACTCAGGCAGTGCAGAGAGCTGGGCACAGGTCCCTATGAACATCATTTGGGAAGTAGTACTCTTCAGCAGGGACCCTTGAACTTTAAAGAAAGGAACTCCTTTTTGCCTTCTAATTGATCATTTAGACCATTCTGGCTAAGTCTACCCACATGCAATTAGCAGCTAATTCAGGCGAGGAAAAATGTAAGTCATTTAGACCAAAGCCGAGCAGTTTCCTTGTGTGGGTTACTGAAGAGCTTGTGGTTACTTGTATCTCCTCTAATGTGAACGAACTTTGAAATGCAGACCTCTAGTTGTGCCAGGCTGCCAGGTCCTGGAGGAATAGGAAAGGAGCTGATGGAGGTGGGCAGTGACTAAGGGGACGAGAAGCATGGGGGAACTATTTGCACATTACCATATAGGAGCATACCTTCAGAGACAGTGGTGGGGCTGTGGTACTTAACACTTGTACCCTGAAATTGACCAAGGCCTTGGGATCGTTTTTGCTGACATTATATCTTCCTTATGGAATTTTCACAAATGTTAGATAGATACCAGCCTGTATGCCTTTTTCCAGAAGTCTGTGACTACCTTGACTCTACTTTAGGCCCACTGCACAAAACCCACCTCTGGTTTGAGGAATTCATGTTGATCCGTACCACACCACCCAAAGTTAGGCCTCCCATACTGTCTAAAACATTCCTTTCAGCCTTTTCATCATTTCTTACTATACGCTGCACAAAACCCACCTCTGGTTTGAGGAATTCATGTTGATCCGTACCACACCACCCAAAGTCAGGCCTCCCATACTGTCTAAAACATTCCTTTCAGCCTTTTCATCATTTCTTACTATACGGTCTGTCTGCAGTAACTCAGAACCCTAAGATTTAGACATACTACATAATTCTTTGGGTATTTTGCTCTAAGAAAGAATAGTGAACATTTTAAGATATAAAAGCAGTCTACTGTCTTGTGTCAATTGATGTGAAAGAATACAATTCTTTTTTATGTAATTAGTGAAATATTTTTCACTAGGAAACACTAAATAGTGTCATGTTTCTGTTGCTTTCTTTTAAATTCCTGGTAGCAAATCAAGATAAATAATTGCTTTGTCTCTGAATGATACTAAAGCGGGATGAAATAAGAGAGATGCATTCATGTAAACATGCTTTGCTGTACAAATTTTGTCTTTTTATTTCTTTTCTTTCCCATGTATTGAACCTGCAAATGTGCAAGTGCCCTTATTAGGAGCACTCCTTTGTACATTTTACATATACATAGTATGAAAACACATCAGACGGAACACTTGAAAAGTTTTAAATAGGTCTGATTATCAGAAAATTGTGTTTCAGGATTGAGGTCTTTGCCTCAGCCCAGAATTCCAGGGCCTGGGCCTGCTTTTATTACCCTGTCTTATCCAAGTGTCTTCCTTTAGATTCTGGAATCTCCTACTTAATACTGACCATGGTTTTGAAGGGAGGAAGAGGCATCAGAACAATAAATAAATCAAACTTAGCCCTTATATCTTTTTTAAAAGAAAACAAGAATCAAGTCTCTGTAGGCTCACTGGCTATTTTCTTCTCTTTTCTCTTTTCTAAATTTAAAAATTTATTTTTAATAGTTAATAGATCAATGGTGCAAAATTCAAAAAGCATGAATGGGTAGCTACTGAAAAATCTAAGTCACATATGAGCACAGAGTTAACATTTCCAAAGTCTGCAAGAAGGTTTCTTTATTAGCATATCATCAGTGATGCCTTGAATTGGTTGTGATTTCCAATTGCTGCTCTTGGTACTTTTTCATTATAAATAACTGTTAGCTTCGCTTTATCATTATCAGTTTATTTTGTTGTGAGTTGCCTTGTTAACCTTACTGAGTATACTAATGCTTATTTGCATCAGCAGTGTTCTGGGACTGTAATTTTCCAATAAGTAGACTCTAAGACATGTACACTGTGGTTCAAATATGAATCATCCATATGCCAGTGCTAGAGCAAATGTATACATAATCCACTCCCCTCAAATTATCAATAATTTATTTTTCCACTCAAAATGAAACTAGATGGAGTCAGTAAGTCAAGCAGTTTTGCCCTAAGTGGGGTCCCATCAAAAATAATTTGAGATATACTGTCTTTAATACAGCTCTGCCTCAGGAATCCTACCTATATAGTACATCCTAGATATGCAAGAGGAATATGTCCTGAAAACTCACTAATTCCAGCATTGCATGTAATTTCCCCCATAAGATTTGCTTAGGTCTGTTGGAAAATTAAAGAGAATTGCTTAGATACTGAAAACAAGAGGACTGCATCGTGATTCAGTGCTGGGTAATAGGTGGACTCACTCACAAGGAACCTGTCTCCACACCCCAGCTTCCCAAAATACTTGCAGATTCAGGTCTCAGCAAATGACAAGTTAGCATGAGTGGTCCACAGTCATAACTACAGAGGTTATACCTGCAAACACCAAGTTTCTTCTGCTTTTCCCTCTCTTCTTGTGAAAGATATAAGTGCAGGCTAGTTCCAAAATTTGGTTATGCTCCCTGCTTTACTACAGTGGTGATTGCACATATACGCATCTGTGTTCACGTGCTCATGACGACAGCTACACAACCATGACGGTGCTCCACGCAGCATGAGCAGTCCTCAAACCAAGCCTGATGATCTGGAGGATGTCAGGCTTCCCAGGAAGGAAGCCCCAGTGAAGCATCTCTTAAAGTACACTCTGCAAGATATTGATAGATGTTAGGTGGACAAAAAGGTCACATTCAAATAAGTTTGGCAGGGCCGGCCCGTGGCTCCCTCGGGAGAGTGTGGTGCTGATAACACCAAAGCCCCGGGTTCGGATCCCATGTAGGGATGGCCGGTTCGCTCACTGGCTGAGCGTGGTGCTGACACCAAGTCAAGGGTTAAGATCCCCTTACCGGTCATCTTTTAGAAAAAAAAATAATAATAATAAGTTTGGGAAATTTGAGGCTAAGAAAATGAAACTAGCTTACTTAGGCTTTGGTTTTGTTTTTGTTTCGTTTTTGTTTTCTTACTGGAGCCCAACTCACAGTCTCCTACATTAATGAATATTATGACTCTCCAAAGACAGAATACACTGGGTCCCCACCTTGTTTGACCACAGGACTTATTTGCTCCCTGAGAAATTTCCAGGATGAGTACTCTGTGGAACTCGTCCATTCATTTAGCCATTCAGCCATGTATTCAGCAAGGTGTGTTGAGTACATCCACTGGTGAGTGAGAGCTTACAGTCTAGTGGGGGAGACACGAAAAATCATCACTGATCAATGTTAGTTACGAATTGTGATAACCAGTATGGAGAAGTACTAAAAACCATGGAAGAGGACTAATTTAGATTTTGAAGTCAAGAGGGGTCTCTGGCAAAGTGACGTTTTAAGTTAACACCTGAATCACAGCTACTCAAGCAAATAGCCCACAACTCAAGGGCACAGCATGGATGAGGATCTTGAGACAGAAGACTCGTTTCCCTGAAGGAACTGGCTGAAAGCCAGGGTGGCCAGAGTCCAGAGAGTGAGGGGGAAGAAGAGGTATCAGATCACAGGTGTCAGAGGAGTGCAGATTTTTATCATAAAACTATTAAAACTTCGGGGAGAGCTGTGTCGTCCACGTGGAGGTCTGGGACTGCTCTTCTCCTCTGCAAACCATGGTCATGGCTGGAGATCAAAGGGGACCGGGGAGGTCAAGCTTTGCCCACCACCCCACCCCAGTCTGGTCTCAACAACTGCTGAGAGGGCAGGAGCTCCTAGCCCATGCCAGCCTCTCCACATTTCATCCTCTGAGAAGAGTGAAGGGAACCAGCCAGATGGGATGAGCTGCATATGTGATGTACAGAGGCGATGACCAGTCCAGGAAGGTGACTCCGGGGGACCAGGGCTTCAGCCTTCTCACCACGGAGGACTCCTGCTTTATCCCCGTGTGGATGCTGTGGGGCGAGTGGGGAGTGCTGCCACCCAGGCTGTGGGCAGGACAAGGTATAAGCCTCCTGGGTATGGAAAAATCATTTCATTTTCCAAATTCATATTAACCAGCATGAACTATAATAGCTGTAACGCCTCCCACATTATACAAAGCCAACCAGAGGGGTTACTAACGCTTCAGAGTCTTGTGAAACATCTTTCACAGGAAGGTATATTATTTTCACTGGCGGATTTGAAATATCAGAAATATCTTCAGAAATCCCCACTTGAGAGCTCCTTGGTTGGACCCCAGGCCAGTGGGTGCCTGCCCCAGTATGATGCTTGTCCTGGGCACTCCCTGGCCTGACAGGTCTGTGTTCTTGCCTCCACTTTCCTGAAACTTCTGCACACATGTGGGTACTGGCTTTGATGCTGGCATTTGAAAGGGCACTTAGAAAATTCTGAGAAGCGCCAATGATTAAGA